TATATATATATATATATATATATATATATATATATATATATATATATATAAATGAAATGGGAAGAGATGTTGCAGAATTGGGGTAGAGATCGAATGAAACCCTAGGATTTTCGCAGAGAAAGAGGAAATGAGAAGACCTAGGGTTTTCTACAGTGACATGAGTTTTTAGTTAGAGAGATAAAGACTAAGGGTTTTGGGGCTTGAAAATGTTTCTATCAGGTTCTATAGAGACAGAAAAAGAAGATTTTTACAAAAAAAGGGAGATCAGAGGATAGAACTTGCAATCCTTATTCACTGAAATCCAATTTACTATCATTCCCATAATATTACAACCATGACAAATCAATGGCCTTATCTTAAAACTTTTTCCTATTTTGCTCCATCCAAGGATTCTACATAATGTTGACCCATAATGATCTCCAAATGACACGTTCCTTTTTTTAGATTCCTAATGAAACCCACTGTTACAACACCATTCTCCTAGATGCTGATACCATAATATGAAGGTTAAGTATCTGTCTTCCCCAACTCCATAACTCCGAAATATATGGACGTTGGAGAAAAAAGAAGCTCAACAGTTTCATTCTTAGATTTACATAGAATACAGATATTAGTTAATAAAAAGCCTATTTTATGGAGATTATCAATAATGGCCAACGTACTTTGGGATGCAATCCATAAGAACATTTGCACCTTTGAAGTGACTTGTAATTTTCAGATCTCAACCAACTCTTCATCCAACATTCTGCTGCGATCATGGTAAAATAAATTTTAAACAGAGTTCATAGAAAAATCACCCGAGGTGGTCAAATCCCAAATATTGTAATCTTCCATTGAAGGAGAATAGTGAAACTGATTTAACATGAGCATGATATTATGAAATTCTTCAATAAACATGCCATTCATCCTTCTGTATCTACAAGAGACATACCACACACATTAGGACCATTCTCCCCCTTCATCTCTTTGACTGCGCTATGGGGATTACAAACCTTTGAAAAAACCTTTAGGAATAGGTAGCGCAAAGGGAAATCCCCCAGCCATTTATCATATCATAAAAGAGTTTTTTCACCATTCCCCACAATTATGATGTTGTAGAAGATAAATAGACTTGCAATAATTAATCCCTTTCCAAATAGCAGAAAGAGATGATCTATTCTTTGGAATTTTGATAAGGCTATTTGTCTCATCAGCACCATATTTTTCTTGAGGACAACACACCATAAAGACTTTGGTATTTTCATTACATCTCCACCACCATTTTGTAAGCAGGCTAATATTTATAACTTTGAGTTTCCTAATACCTAAGCCTCCCTCTTTGGTAGTTGCACAACATTGATCCCATTTAACAAGTGCTGCTTCTTGGAATTATCAAAACTTCCTTAATGTTTTCATGATGCCTTTTAACATTCTGACTACTTGTCCAAGCATTCGAAATAAAAACATAGTAAACATTTAAATTGGAGAAGGTGGATTTAATTAACGTTGCTCTCCCCCCCTAAGGAAAGGCATTTAGATTTCTAAAGGTCTAATTTTTTATTAAATTTTTCAACAAATAGGATCCCAAATGGAGCGAGGAGGATGGCCAATTGGTAAAGGAATTCCCAAATATTCACCATACCCTAATATTCTCACCATATGTTTCACTAAAGTATTTGCACATCCTACTCCAATCATAAATGTCTTCGATAGATTAACCTTAAGACCCGTAACGAACTCCATGCACTTTAGAAAAATCCAAAGATGTTTTATTTGGGATTGCAAAAGAAGATTGTCTGAACTACTACAAAATATCTAGATTGTCTATTTTCAAGATTTTCAAATATTTATAAATCGATTTGATTTGTACTAATTTTTAAAATTTTAAATTTCATAACTAGGAATAAAAAATTTTCACACGATCGCAAAGGTTCAACAACAAAATTACATCTCCAAACCAATATAAGGAGGGCGCCTTGTACAAACCTCTACCATAAGAGAGAGAACAATATCATACTAAAGATGAAATCTTATTATCGAAAACAAGATGCGTCAAGATCACCTCTAAAGGAACAAGAGAAGTCTTAATAACGAAAACAAGATACCTCAAGATCACCTCTAAAAGGATTTTGGTCCAACCCCATTCCAGATCAACAAATTTGATGGCACTGTAATGTCGATCCATTCCAGATTAACAAACTTGATGGCACTCTAATGTAGATCCCTTGAATCGCCTGAATATATGAAAGTCATATAGCAAGCCTACAAACTAAAAATAGGGGCAAGAGTGCTTGACCAAGAAGACAAATAGGTTTTTAGGTCCATACCACCAACTCAAAAAAAATCCACACTGTAAGGCATGCTACCTAGGAGTGGCAATGGACCCGAACCCGACTTAGGACCTGCCGGGTATACCCGACACGAGTCTAGGTATGGGCCCAATATTTGAACCTGGGGGTCGGGTCTGAATCAAAAACCTGGACCCGAATACCATTCGGGTCTGGGTCCAGGTCCGGTTGGACGCGACCCATACTCAATTCGTACCTGTAAACGGTCGGAGATAAAATACTTCAGGCCCTATTCATTTGGGTGTATTAAGGTTCCTATACAATAATAAGTCGTAGTCATCTTTTAACAAATAAAACGGCTTGAAATCTAATGACAGGTAATTGTGACATTGTTGTCAATAATATGGGTATATGATGGTAAAAAAAAAAAGCAAAAAAAAGAAGAAAAGAAGCTCATGGTGAGGGTAGCAATGAACCCAACCCGACTTGAAACTTGACGGGATAGACCCAAGACACAGGTACGAGTATAGGTTCAACTTTTGGACCCAATAACTTGGGTTTGGGTCCGGGTCTGGGTCCAAACCAGACCCAAATACTATACGGGTCTAGGTCGGGGTCCAGCCGGCCCGATTTGTGGCCACCCCTGATGCCACCCTCTTTTTGTCTCCATGGTGCGTGATACCCTTGAAGGGCTCAGAGAGAGGTGGTCGTCCATCCATCGATCGGACGGTCTTGAAAAGAATAGAACAGAAAACTAATAAATGCTTTACGTGGCAAACATACTTGGTGAGAACACGAGAAGAAAGGGGGAAAGCATGTGGCTCACGACTACGCCACATGGCAGCCAGACGTGGCCACTCGATCCACGTGGCAAACACTGGGAGGGCTAAGGAGATCGCGGGCAGCGCCAGCCTCTTATCAAGAAGTCCCCCTATATAAATACCCTCTCTACCGTTTCTCTCTCCTCTCTGCCCAAAAACCCACTCTCTCTCCCTCTCTCCATGTCAACACTGGCCATCTCCCTCTCTCTCTCTCTCTCCTCCTCCTCCTCCTCCAGGCCCAGGCCCAGGCCAAGGCCTCCTCTCCCTCAGCTCAATCCAAGAAAGGTAAGCACTATCACTTTCTCTCTCTAACTCTTAGCACTCTCTAAGCCTTTTCTCTCTCTAATTTGATTGTCTTTGGATTTTCTCTCTCTAGCTTGGTGTTTCTCTCTCTAGAGTTGATCACTTATTGCTTGTGTTGTGTGGTGTGGTGTGGTGTGGTGTGGTGATTTAGAGTGGAAAGGGAGCTCTTGGTGTGGTCGCAGTCTGTGGTGAGGAGGAGAAGAAGAATCCATGGGGCACGCTGTTTGATGTGGAGGACCCAAGGCCTAGGGTCCTGCAACTCAAGGAGGGGAAGAGCAAGTTCTTGGATATGAACCAAGCCATCGAGGTGGCTCGGTTAGATATCCAGTACTGCGATTGGCGGGCTCGTCAAGATGTGCTCACCATCATGACACTCCATGATAAGGTAGGCCGAGAAGAGATGGATCTCCATGAGTAGCATTTCATCGGCTTTTTGTTCAGTTTATAGAAAACCTGATGCATGCGATGCGATGCGATGCGATGTATGGTTCTCAATAGTGAATCGGGTTATTCTCTGAGATCCGGTGATTTTTGCAACACTTGAAAATGGAAGGTTGATAATGGATTATAAATATACATTATTTTTGGGGTTTGAAATCCAAATTTTTTTTAATGACCATAATGGTGATCGATTTGAAGGTTTCCACCCAGAAATGCAATTTTCACTTGAAAAATATTATCACGTGAACCAAACGTCCCCTTAGACTGTTGGAAAATCAAGATTTGGGGGAGGGTTCATTTTGGTAATGTACCTTGGCTTTTAGGAGTCCAATGGAGTGCCATCCAAATGGTGCACATGATATATAATACATAAACCTACCAGAGGGAATAGACTATGGCATGGCATATCGTGTAGGAACATGATAGATGCATCCCCACCGTCCATTTCTAGAACAACAAGAAAAATAAGAACCACCGATCAGTTCATACTTCTCACGCAAACGATCATTTCTTGCATTTAATTTACATAGGGGGGCCGCATTGTATTATACTCTGTCCATTTGACATCTGCCGGCTTAGGATGTTTTTTACATTTGTGTAATGAAGGATAAGGCCTCCTTATAGATGGTCCATTTTTTAAATAATTTATGTTAAATCCTAATTAATATATTTTTTTTATTTCTTTTTTAAATCTAAAATTTTCTATCTTATATTTTGTAGAATTTTTCTTGAGTTCTCTATTTAAGATAACCTAAATACCATTATAGTAATAACTATTTTTGGTTGGTAGGAGTATTTGGCATTTAAATGTTATTTCTAAATTATTATTGTTATTTTTGCTTGTTCCAATTTCTTCTCCACAATGGCTTTTTTTATTTCAAAAACCATAATTAATATAAAACATGGAACAGATTTTCAAAGGGAGTTGGAGATGATTTCTCATTGGATTTTGATAACAAATAAAAATATCGATTAAATAAATTTGAGGATGACAAAGACAGAGGAATTCAGGAAATTTGACGGCAAAAATAAGAGCCGTAAGAAATTTAAAGCTCACAACTTCTCCATTGTATGGTTATAGATGTAATCAAGGTTGCTTGTTGAAAATATGCAAAATGCGTAGATACATAGAAGCATGTTATATTCCGTAATTTACTCATGATATTATTACAGGTAGTTGAGGTTCTTAACCCGTTGGCACGTGAATACAAGTCCATTGGCACGGTGAAGAAAGAGCTAGCGGAGTTGCAGGAGGACCTTGCAAGTGCTCATAAGCAGGTGATCTTAAGCTTTTCTAATGAAAAATCCACATTTCATGAGCTTATCAAAATACACCAGCACAAAATACTCTTATTATACTTCACATTGGAAACTATAGTATACAAAATGTTGTGAAGGAAACATGAGAAATGATCAGACAGAACCAGTTCTAGCTTACCTATGGTTCAAACTCTAGGCTAACGCCGTCAAATCAATGGATGAGAAACTTTTATTTTTTATTTTTTGGGCGGGATGGGGGGAAGGGACCCATCAGAACATTGCATGACCCATGTGGTAGGTACTGCTATCTCTCCTCCCCATCCATCCTTTGATTAAACAAATTTTTTTTTTCTTTGTTTTTGAAGAAAGGTTAACTCATTGATTAAACAATATTAGTCTGAGATTTTTAAGAGATAAGGTAGAGCAGAGTTCTAGTTTATAATTACTAAAATCCAAAAGAGTATCCCATATAAATGGTATGTAAGAGCGCATAAGGACATTTAACTTGGTATGGTTCATCTCTACCATCCATTGCTGAGAACAAACCCCAACTGTATACTATTGTATTATATGTAAGCTGTGTATCACTACTTTACCTGCATTGCTAAGTGATGCTATGTACAGGTGCACATATCTGAAGCCAGAGTAGCAACTGCTTTGGACAAACTCGCCTACATGGAGGCTTTAGTGAATGATAGGTTGCTTCAAGATAGGAATACATCTGATTCAGATCAATCTTCACATTCTCCAAGTACTTCATCGAGTTCTTCGATGACTGTTAGTAGTTCGAAGATGTCTCGAAGAAGCTTGAATGTGTCAGGTCCAGTTAAGGACTACCCCCCTGCATTGAAGAACTTTTGGTACCCTGTGGCTTTCTCTGATGACCTCAAAGCTGATACCATGGTATGTTTCCGACACCCTTTCCTTTGAGCTTTGCTCAAAATGATATATAAAAGAAAAGAGGGCAATTTTGAGTTTTCAAACATTGTTATAAACTCATGTACAATATGGGGTACAAGTGTAGGTTATTCTTTGTCAAAAAGAAAGGGAAAGTATACTATAATCCATTAGACTGGGATAAACCATGGACTATTGTTCCTCCATATCCATTGAAACAATGGCTGGTGGTAACCAAATGGACCATTGTATTCTAAAGGTCTAAAGGCAAATGGATTTAAGTATACTTCCAAGAGATAAACTTGAAGTTCTAATGGATGTATTGAATTTTCTTGATGAACATATCAGATCCCAGTGGATTGCTTTGAGGAGCCATGGGTGTTGTTTCGAGGGAAAGATGGTGAGCCCGGTTGTGTCCAAAACACTTGTGCACATAGAGCATGCCCCTTGCACCTTGGTTCTGTCAATGAAGGCCGCATACAATGTCCCTATCATGGTCAGTGAATTTCATTCTAAATGCAAAAAATTATCCTCCATGGGAAAGAATTCCATCCTCCTGTGCTATCTGCCACAGAGTACACCACGGGGACCTCCATGTGCATTTCTAATGACAGATGGTTAAGATTAGCCTAACCCAGGTGAATGTTAATCGTCATTGAGGAGTTAGTTTCCACCACTGGTCTTCAGGAATGGACAATGGATGGCAATGTACCATACACCACACACCAGTTCTGTTTCTGGCGAATAGAATTTATGTTCTGTTTCTGGTGATTAAAATTTATGAGTCTAAACGTCTAAACCATGAAAAGACATATTTTTGTTGACCCTAGGTTGTAGTGTAAAAGTTGGTCATTCTGCTCAATTTCCTAAAATATCAATTCTAGAAACATCTCAGTTCTTTGACATTTTTTCTTTGGGTGGTTCTGCCATTGGATTTGAACTTGGGATGTAGTACTGTAATCATCACATGCAAGACTGTATCCTCCTTGGAACTTCTTTTTTTAAAGTGAGATGTTTAACAATTTTTTATCGAACATTTTTCTTGGTCTTTTGTTCAGGTCGGTTATGTACCATGTTTTTTTCAGCGCCAAAAAGTAACACGAAATACTGAATATCGTTACCACTAAACGATTCCACACCCAAAAGAGAGGAAAAAGAAAAAAAAAAAAAAAAAATTTACTCCTACCAACCTTTTAAATATCTGTCTAGCTCTCACTGAAAGTAAAATATGACTTGTGACATGTCTTCTTGTCGAAATTGCAGGGTGGGAGTACTCTACTGATGGAAAATGTAAGAAAATGCCATCAACTAGATTACTAGATGTCAGGATAAAATCATTACCATGTTTTGAGCAAGATGGTATGGTTTGGATATGGCCAGGAGACGCACCCCCAATGGCCACCCTCCCCTCTTTACAACCTCCCACTGGATTTACAATCCACGCACAGGTACATCCAGGATCTTATTCATACTTCTAATTTTTTTCTTTATCTTCATTTCTACCTTTTTTTGCTTCAACTAATATATCAAAATCCAGGAAATATAGGAATCTGGAGCTGAACCTTCTTGTCTGAATTTGAAATAACTTTGAATTCTATAATCTGCTTCATACAATTGTAACTGTTCAAAAGCAATGGAATCCTTTGCATTTATATCGACAGTAATGCTGAGCGTTTCCTGTTATGATATCCTATGATCGTATACCATATTCCTAGGTGATACCCTGTTTTATCTATATGACTCATATTTGTACGTGCATGTATTTTTGCAACTGACATCATTCAACGTCTTCTGAAAAATATTTATCAGAAAAACAGAAAAGATATCTTCTAACATAGTTTGTTAGCTTTGTATGCTACTTTATATACCAATCAACTTCCGAATATTTTCTCCTTGAGTGAGGCACTGGTTCTCTTCTGTAATTCATCATGAACACGATTCTTTTTGTTTGTCATAGTTTTGCATTAATTATCCTCTTCTAGAGCTGATCCTTCGACGAAGTCTTGCTTTTCTATTGAGCTTTTCATGCTATGATATTAAAGATTACTTGGCTACAATGAGAGCTTTCTACGTACCAAAACTAACTCCCAACGCCAGATTGGTGTGTATTTTGAACCACAGAACTTGACCCCATGATAAAAAAAGAACTCTGATTTGCACAATGCTTGATAACTGTGTTCTCCCTTTTTTCAATTGTACCAACAGATCGTCATGGAATTGCCAGTTGAGCATGGACTTCTGCTGGATAATCTTTTGGACCTTGCACATGCACCTTTCACCCACACCTCCACCTTCGCCAAGGGCTGGAGCGTTCCAAGGTTTGTCAAAATCTTCTGACTAACTGGTTGGACTGGCCATTATATTCAATGCTCCACTATAATCAAATACACCGACTGTACTTTTTTCTTTTTTTTCCTCTCCTTGTTGGGGGTTGTAACTTTTTTGACAATAGCTTGATTCTTCTTTTGGAAATTTACATTAAAATGGTCAAATTCTCTGAAAAAGTCATTGAGTGGTCAAATCAACCAACATATGAATGCTTTAAAATGATCGTTTTACTCAAGTACCTTGGCCACTGTTTTCTATAAAGATATTCAAAATTTGATGTTTTGCATTGGAGCCTAGAACAAGCTCGGGCATTTTGGTAAATTACAAGTGGCGCCTCATTACTACAGGGCCCCTGCTTTCAGGGTTTAAAAGTAGTAAGTCTCATTCGGTTCAAACAACTTAAAATGTGGCCAAATCACCAAAATGCCCTGCATGATTCCAACTCCCAACTCCGAATGGGCCATTTTGCGTATTTTCACAAAGTAGTTGAAATGGTACCCGAGTGAAATGATGTTCTAAAGTAATCACTTTGTTGATAAAATTGGTTACTTTAGTCATTTCAAATCATTTTCATTCACTTTTTTCCTTTTTAAAATGATCAAAGTGATATTAATAGTCAAGTCCTGCCTTAAGTTTGGCTGCAACAAATGTTTTGATCAATATGTGGACAGTAAAATTTCGGCATTTTGCGACTGCGATGAAAAACTGAAAAATCTAGTTTTCATCTCACGAATAACTGTGGCTTCTTGTTGGTATTATAGAATTACATCCAAATGGATCACTCAACTAAAATGTTCCCTCACTGAAAATGTTACCCCAAGGGCGCCAAATAATGGTTGATGGTGGCAAGCAAACAAAACCCTAATCTTTGAATACCATCAAAATCTTTTCATAGAAAGGTGCTGATCTTTTTCTATGGAGGAAACTTTCAAAATATTTACTACTTTATTCGAAAAAACTGTTGTCACTTATTTCCGAATAACTCCATTCTTTAATAGAGTTGTTGGGCCATACAAACAGGGCCCGAGTGATTTTGACAATCCATAATTGAATGAAGGATCTGGTTTCTAAGCGCCCAAGCCCGCATATGTAGAAATGCGGGCTCATTAATAAATCTATTTTTGAGGTGGATTTTTTGACTTAATTTTTTGGGATATGTAATCTCTAACATGGAGATCATGAATATGAAAAATAAAATAAATTGTAAAAACTAAAAATAATAATTCTAGTAAGAAAATGTTTGGACCACTAGTTTCCATTGTTTTTAGATGGAACACCTACTTGCATCCATCCTTAAGATGGATGCTTTACAATTACACTTTTTGTTGACCGCATATGTAATCATGCGGTCCAGCCCACATGAAACAATTTTCCTTGAATGAATTCAAGATGTCAGTGCACAAGATGCTGGATGGTTTAATTAAAACAAATTCCCTTTGCCTAAGATATAGATTTGAGATTAAAAATAAAATTCTGATAAAGATTTGAGATGCTCTTGCCACCCAGTAGCATTTGCAGTGGCTAAAACATCGAGTCTTTTGGCCCACCAAATATTTATTTCCTGAAAATACCAAGATTTCCTAAATCAGTGAAGCCATTTCATGTGGCCTAATTTTTTCTTTAAAATATTTAAAGCATTTGATATTGTATCAAAATTTGCAGCTTGGTGAAGTTCTTGACACCAGCATCAGGCTTACAAGGTTATTGGGATCCATACCCAATTGACATGGAGTTCCGCCCCCCATGTATGGTTTTGTCGACCATCGGCATATCAAAGCCAGGCAAGCTGGAGGGACAAAACACTAGGCAATGCTCCACCCACTTGCACCAGCTCCATGTTTGTTTGCCTTCATCTAAACAGAAGACCAGATTGCTCTATAGAATGTCTCTTGATTTTGCCCCAATATTGAAGCATATCCCATTCATGCACATTTTATGGAGGCACTTTGCAGATCAGGTTGGACCCAACAAACCGCTCTCCTTAATCTTTTCATTTTATTTATCTAGGGTGGAATAATATGTAGTTTGGGTTCTTTCTCATGAAAATTCATAAAACGGCAATTCTGATTTTCACTTTCTAAATGGACATAACACAGAAGGTGGCTAAGTACCTGATGTTCAAAATAACCTACAACATACATACATTCCAAAAATAAAAATAAAAAGACCAAGTTCTTAGTTCTTACATGAATTGAATCTCAAGAAATGTAGGGAGCAAATACTTAATGGTCATTATTTATTTTTTCCACGGTATGGAGATCAGTGATCTGCATGACTAACAAGAGAATTCAGATTAATTACAGGCTCCATATGCATGGCATGCAACTGTCTTTAGTTCACCAGAAATATGGATGAATATTTCAGGGATTTCCTTCTTTGTGATGAAGAATCTTTGAAAAAATAAAATATAAGAAAAATAATTAATAAGGTATTAAAAAAGAAAAGAAAAATTTTAACCTCTAACGTGCATTCTCAGGTCTTGAATGAGGATTTAAAGCTGGTTCTTGGACAGCAAGAGCGTATGATCAATGGCGCAAATGTGTGGAACTGGCCCGTTACATATGATAAACTAGGAATAAGGTACAGGATATGGAGAGATGCAGTTGAACGGGGCGCTAAGCAGTTACCATACAGCAATCCGAAGAAGATATCTGGAGAATGGTTTTAGCTCCCATTTTCTCATACTCCCAAGAAGCCAAAGCTAAGGTGATGTCTTCATGGAGGACTTCGTAGTCATCGAACCCTTTTTGTATCATCAATCAGAGAGGAGCATCCATGGCCAAAGGCAGATATATTCAGCAGACCAAAAAATCCAGGGTTTGCTTCCCATGTAAAATAAGACACTGAAGACAACCAGTAATGGCTTCTCATGTCTTGAGTGTCTGTAATTTTGCATGTACAGTGCTGATCTAATTCTTCTCTCCCCTGCTTCTCTGTATCTCTTTCTATTTCTTTTGTTCTTGAATAACCTCCTGCATGATTTTTTTTTTTTGGATTGTGGATCCAGAATCGCACAAGCTACTGCAATTCTTCTACTATTGTATCGGAATGTGCATCACATGTATTGAGTTATTTCATCGGAAATGCTTGAAATTGGCTCTTAGAATGACTACTTTTTCGTTTTGTATCATCTATTCTTGCAGGAAAGACATTAGTTCAGAGCCGAACATTGTCATGTCAAAGCGTGTGCAAGCAATGGCTTCTCATTTCATTGTTGAAAAGAAAAATGAGTGAGTATGGGCCTCCTGCAATTCGTGATGTTTCAACTTTCAACCATTCCCTTGAAAGTAAAAGAGATTAGTTCTGGTTTTTCAATGCAAATCTATGAGGGCCCGTGTATGGAGTTTCAACAATTGGAAGTTAATGACTTTACCAATAACATTGAAACTTTCTTAGTTGGATGGTAGCTGTGAAATGATACCAAAACCAGTAGTTCTACGGGCTGCCATTTTTTTGTATCTATTTACAGCACTATCATACATTCTATACAGTCAAATATTTCGAAAAAAAGTGTCAAGATCGGTAAAACATATTTGTTCGGATTAATGTTTATAATATAGAATCAAATACTTTTAGAAAAAAACCAAGTAAACTAGTTTTGTTCTAATCAGTATTTTAAAAATTGCTAACTCGGATTGAAATCGCCTTATCAGATCCGAAACTCGAGGGGTTGATATGGTTCCCATCATATATTGGGAACCAGTTGTCGCTTTCAAAACTACTAGCCAGTTCGAGCCAGTCCATATTGGTTCTAGCCAGTTCGAGCCAGTCCATATTGGTTCTATAACGGAAGCAGCTGGTTCCAGCCTATTCATAACTGTGAACCGGTTTTGATGCCGAAGAACCGGTTTTTTAATCTTCTTAAATTTTTTCTCTGCAGTTATTTTTAATATATTTTTAGTTTTTTTAAATTTTTTCTCTTTTTTTTTTTTTTAACTCAACCAATTCACATTTGCCAACATTTATTTTGTCTTTGACTTTTCAAACACCTTTTTTTTTTTTTTTGTTTGGTAGAGAGCGCACTTTATGAATTTAAAATTCTAAGAATTTGTGTCATCTTTCCGTACACTGTTCATGGGAAACTTTAGCGCTCCACGTGCTGGCTTAAATTTAGAGTTATTTATGTATGGACCTAATTTTTTTTCAAAATAAAAAATGATCATTTTATAAGCAGAAATTATAAAATAATTGATACATTTTTTTTATTTTTTTCAAAATTACCTTTCGACCGAGGATCTTCGGACCGAATTTTTAATTTTTTTAATTTTTTCATTAGTTTTAATTTTAAGTTTAGTTTCCCTACAAATGAAGAGCTAAACAAAAAAAATTAAAAACCGGTCCAATCTAGCAGCAAATTTTTTTTTTTAAAAAAATGCGGGTTGACCTAATTTCCACCACCTATAAAGTGAGCGTTACATTTTAGGGTCTGTACGTAAATAGGGTCTGTTAGTGGTGGCGTGGGGAGAGAGATCGACCAAGGGGATGGGAGAGATGCAACATTTAGAGTTAATTACGTAAGGAAAAATACGGTATACTCCCATGTATATATAT